ATATGTAGGGTGCTCTTACAATCAAAGAAAACTGGGAAAGCAAACATTTAAACAAGAAAGTAGCTGCTGCATTTGAGCATCTGAGTTCCAGATTCCCTGCTTTTCAACCACACAGAAGTCACAGCGGGTGGCTGTCCTCAGCCCCACTTTTAGGTATCAGGGGATGGGCTCAAAAGCAATGCCAGAGTGAGAGGAGGGGGCTGGTGGGGAGACACCAGGCTGCCTGGAGCACAGCTGTGCCACGGCGTGCTCTCCCTCACACCATGCACACTCTGGAGCAGGCAGCACCCAGGCCTAGCCTGTTCTTCTACCGAGGAGGGGTGGCGCATGTGCTGGGATCTGTGAAGCCACAGGAAGTGTGAGGGAGGAAACACTCTCCCCTCGCAGCTTTGTCACCCAGACTGACTTAGTGGCTGACAACAGAATAAGGCAGTCTCCAATATTAATGCTGAATTAATATTTATTCTTCATCTCTCTCTCCCATCCTCCCTTCCTCCTTCCCTCCCTACTTCTCTCATTTCCTCCTTTGTCTCTTCTTCTTTCCCACACATGTGCGCATGCACATGCACGCACACACACACACACACCTAGGGACATGCTGTATATACCTTTTCCAATATGGTTTAAAGGGACAGAATATTATCTGTGTGCTCTATTAACTAATCTCTTAATTTTGTTTTTATTTTTTGCACCTCTGAGTGCTGTGTCATAGTGCACTTGTACAATAACATACTGTATTCTTTGTCCCTGCCCAGTATTATTTCTAGTTCCACTTATAAATTATTCACATATAATAATAATTATTCACATGTAATAAGTGAGCTTGTGGGCTCACTTATGAAGTCCACATGGAAATGTACCTGTGCATACCCTGATATGTTTCTTTATAAAGTAAATCCAGGCTTGAAAGTACTACATAAAGAGGCCCTCACAGGGTGTTTTCTCTGCAGTTTCATGGAGCACACCACACACACAAACACACACACACACACACTCACACACGGGGCAGTGCTACACTGCTACAAGTCATTGTACTCTAATGAGATCAGTGACATCCATGTGCACTAAATTGGGTGGCTGCCTCTCCCAGAGGTGGGAGTTTTTTGTTTTGCTTTGCTTTTTTACAGTAGCTTTAGTGAGTGAAGAGCGGCACTTTTCAAAGTGTCTCTTTGCTTTACATTTCTCTTTAGGGGGTCACTTTTTGAAAAGGGCTTCCCACATTTCCCAAGATTGAATGCCCTTGTGCCTGTTACACTGATGGAAAAAAAAAGTAACTTTCATACTCCGAGAGAACAGTTTAGTCCTCTGCCCACTCACTCCTGCTTCCACCATCAGTTCCATCCTGCCTTGTGCTCTGCAGTAATCTGACTTCCCCAGATTCCCCCTCAAAGATTGGCATCAGCCTGGCACCTGCTGTCTGGGCATCTTCCACATGCTGGCCATGCAAACCCTCTCAGTGGCTCCCCCTGAAGTACGTGTTCATTTGACTTCCTGCCAGGTGGTCCTCAGACCACTTCTCCAGCTCTGTGTCCCACTTGTGCTGAGTGCTAGTAAATGCTCTGATCTCTAACCACACCACGGTGAATGGGCCACACCGAACCCAGCATTCTCTGCTACATCTGCTCTTGCTCTCCCCCACTTTGCAGTGCTCCCGGAGCCCCATTCCCTAGGTACAATCAAGTGTCAACCTCTCCAGCACATATGCCATGAACCCCCAAAGAGGTGGACCATGCGCCTCACCTCTGCTAACCACTGCTCCCTGTCTCCACCTTTGCATCCTGCTGAGCACTACACAAGCTTCGGCCACTGAGCATGGGAGGTCACACTGGGACCGGGCCCATGGCCCAGGGAACCTCTCCTTTCTGCACGCATTTGCACCAGGTAGCAAGATGGCAGCACACACCTCCCACAAACTGATGTCCCCACCCTGAGCTTGGAGGAGCACAGTAGAGGAGGTGCTAACCTTCTCAGCCTTCTTGCCTTGGACAAAAGATCCTCTGCCCTAGGTAAAGGAGAGCAGGAGACAAAGGGTCACTACGGAGCATCTCCAGGGCATGGCATCCCCTGCGTCCCAAATCACCACATGCTTCTCACCAACTCTGCCCAAAGCCTCCAAAGACATCACTATCACTTGTCAAATGTGGATCCTCATGACTATTATTTCATTTAATTTTCCAATATTTCAATATTACACTTACTGATCTTGGTTTTGGTAACATCTTTATTGGGATATGATATATAAACCTTGTAATTTAAAGTGTCTAACTCATAATTTTAATATATTTATAGGGTTTCATGGCAATCACCAAAATCAACTTTAAAGCACTTTTATCACTTCCAAAAGAACCTGTACCCACTAGCAGTCACTCCTCATTCCTCTGCTCCTGGCCCTATCAAACCGTAACCTGCCTGGTGTCCTATTGAAGATATTGTCTATAAATGGAAGCAGAGGATAACTGCCTTTTGTGACTGGCTTCTTTCACTTAGAAAAGTCTTTTCAAGGTCTATACAGGCTGCGCCACGTAGCAAAACTTCACTTTGCTGCAGACTGATCTGACAGTATATGGATACAGCTCCTTTCATTGTCCGCTTGCTTCTTCTTTGGGCTGTCAAAACTAGTGCTGCTATGAACATTTGTGTATAAAGTTCATTTTGTGTGACCAGATGCATGCATTTTGGGGGTATATACCTAGGTGTGGAATTAAATTGCTGTATGTAAGTCCACATTCCAAATTTTTTAGACCTGCAAGACTGCTTCTCACTGCAGCTGACCCTCTCTACACCAACAATGTCCAGAGGGTCCTTCTTCTGCACTTGGTCAGTGTTCCCATCTTTTCTGGAAGGCAAGGAATTGAAATCTCTGGCCATCATGACTGAGTCATCCATTTCACCTGTGCATCCTGTCAGATATGTGTCATGTGTTTGGGATCTGCTGCCAAATGCTTGTGTATTTATCATTGTTACACATTCTTAGAGGTTTGACTGCTTTATCATCATAATAAGATGTCCCTCTTTACTGTTTTTGATTTATAATCTATTTTATCTGACATTAATCACTCCTGAGTTCTTGAATGTTCTGTACTTTCAAAAAGTGTATTTTCCAATCTTCTTGCAAAAATTTATATCTTTTTTTCCCTAGCACTACAGATGGAACTCAATGTTTTACTCATGCTTGGCAAGGTCTCTACAACTGAGCTATATCCCCAGCCCTTTCTTTCTAGCTCTGAATGTAAAGAGCTAGACTTTAGTTGGATCTTGGTCTCATATCCTGTCTGAAAAAAATCTGTTTTTTTGTTGCTTTAATACATTCATACATAATATTATTTATATATATATAAATTTTATTTTTTTGCTTCCTGTTTCTTGTGTCCTTGTTTTCTCTTTTACATCTCTTCCACTACTCTTTTTGTGGAAGTAAGTACTTTCTGATATAACATTTTAATTTTCTCAATAATATTTTCACTACCTAATTCGAGTTATCTTAGAAATTGCTCTAGGGCTTATATACATCTTAGCTTACCAGAGTCTACTTGATTTATTAAAAAATATACTTCCAGTGTGATATACACACATACCCCTCCTTAGCTCTGTGTCCTCCTCCTGCTTTGTAGCTATTCCTGCCCTGCATGTTACATGTGTATTTGTTAAACACTCCTCAGTGCACTGTTACAATTCTTACTTTGAACATTTCCTTTTACTGCTTTCTGGCTTCAATTACAGCTGATGTCTAATCAGTCATTAACCTTACTAGGCTTCCTTGCTCAGGATGAATCATTTTTCCCTTTCTGCTTTTAATTTTTACTTGCCTTTCGGGACTTTGATTAGGATTTTTCTAAGTGTATGTCTAAGTGTGTGTCTCCTGTCCTGTTAAGAGTTTATTGCACATCTGGAATTGTAGATTACCACTTTTCACCAAATTGGTGACATCTTCAGCCTTTTTTTGCATGCTTCTCTGATCCTTCCAAATCTCTCCTCTGAGTCCCCACATTACTTGGTAGTCCCCATATTTCTCTGATGTTCCTTTTTCATTTTTTTCCCTCTGCACTTCAGAGTACATGAGCTCTACTGGCCTAGCTTCAAGAATGGTGATTATTTCTTCTGCTAGTTCAAATCTACTGTAAATCCTCTTCAGAAGCTTTCAAAATTTTAGTTATTCTAATTTTAAGCTGCAGAATTTCCATTTGTTTTTATGTTCTATTCCTTTATTGATTATATGTGGTATGAAATATTACCATACCTTTCTTTACTTCTGTAAGACCTGTTCCCTTTCATTCTTTGAATGTAATTACATTGCATTTTGCAAACAAAGCCGTTGTTATAATCTCCATTTTGCTAATGTGGTAAATAAGGGGAAGGCTTCAGAGAGGTTAAGAGACCTGCCCAAGGTCACACGGTCATTAGAAGCTGATGCCAGTGACAGTGACCAAGGTCCACCTGACAGCAACTTTGTGTTATTGATGCTGCATGGTGCTGGGCTGGACAGCAGGGTGAGAGTGTATGCCAGGTGACTGTCACAGAAATAAGAGCTGTTCCAAGCTCTTTGCACATATCCATTCACTTAATCCTCATAACGCCACTGGACACCTTGTTTATTCTCCCCATTTTACAGATGAAGAATCTGTTAACGGAAAGGTTATCCATCTGTAGGTGGCAAATAACCCCCAAGCTGAACTGTGACTTGTCCTAGCTTTTTTCCTGACCCACCATGAGGCAGGAAGGGGTGTCAGGAGACAACAGGATGAATGGAGGGGAGGTCATTCCCAGCAGAGGAAAGAGCATGTGGAATCTGCAAGTGAGAGAAGATGGCATAAAATGAACAGTTTGGGAAATCACAATGGAAGCTGATTCTCAGAGGGAGCAGCAGGGGATAAAAGAGCCACTAGGCCCATATCCAGTAGCTGTCCCCTGCTCATATAAAGGAGATGGCCTTTCATACCCCTTGGCAAAGAGCTGAGTCTCCCACATCAGCCACACAGTCCTGCCAGTTGGAGATGACTCACCGTGTCCCCTTTCTCTCCCTTGGGTCCAGGACTGCCCATTGGCCCAGTGATTCCCATGTCTCCCTGTGGGGACAAAACCATAGACAAGCATCAGGTTATGTCCTCCAATAGAATTCCTGCTCTCACGGGCTGCCCACAGCCAACCTCAGCCCCATTTCCTAGAAGTCGCTGATGTCATCCTTGCCACGTGCTTAAGGAGGGTATACGTCCCCCCTCTGGATGAGAAGGAGGGGCCAAATTATCCTTCACGTTACATGCATTTACGCACAGGTCTGCGTGTACCAGCAGATTCAGGGACTCGAGGACCCTTCTACATCATCCTCTAACCCCTGTGCCAACCTCAGTGCTTGGACGTTAGCAGCAGCCCCCTAACGATAATGGTGTGCGAATGCAATCAAAATTAGCAAAGGAACAGGAGAGAGTTGAGGGAGGAAGTGTGAGATAGAGGAGGGACGGGGAGGGAGCCAAGGAGAGAAGGGAGAGCAGAGCGTGGCTGAGAGAATTCTGCTCAGAGAAAGGGAAGGAAGGAGGAAGGCAGGGAGGGGAGGCAAAAGGCCCAGCTGTCTTTAGACGTCTCCGCCACCACACTCAGTCAAGGGCTGTGCGCTAACACTGAGCTCTCCCACTCAGTGACGATGGGTGACTGCTACCTCCCAGCTCTCAGTTTTCTGAGATCAAAAGATGGATGGGAGAAGATACTACCTGGGGCATGAGGGAGCAAAGGAGGCTGCCCTTGACCTGAGGATGAAGGTCCCAAAAGGGAGCTGGGCTCTGTACGATTAGCAACTTCCCCAATTTTTTGTACAAAAATTTCATGCAATTTAAATAAAATTTAAATGTTGAGCCCTGAAAAGTTTCTGGAATACATCAGTTTGCAAGGGCTGATGCAGAATTAAGTGACTACAGAGGGCTAAACTTGGAGCAAGCAAACTAAGCCTGGGCTCCAGCAATTGTGGCCCTCTCCTGCTTGTATTTTGAGCAGAGTCTCTCAACCTTATGGCCCTCGCTCTTACTCAAGCATCTCAATAGGCACCCAGGCAAACGCTGGCAGGAAAGCCCTCTAATCCACCACTGCTCTGACAGTGGAAGCAGAGCAAGCAGTGCTCAAGCTCCAAAGGACCCCTCTGCATGCCAGTACTGACCTTTGGACCAGGGAGTCCCACAGGGCCATCAAAGCCCCTTTCACCCTATAGAAAGAGAGACAAAAAGAAACAAGTAAGCCTACATTTCAACCATTTCCTTCTTTCCCCCACGAGTTGGTGATCCACCTTCATGCTCAAAAGCCAGTCTTGGATGAGCCAAGAGCTGAGCAGGCAGTTGGACACAGAGTTTGCTGATGGCCAGGAGTTCATTCTTGAAAGGCAAACCTACGCAGGAATGGTGAGTACGGCCTCCAGATATCCAATCACAGGACAAGGATGAGAACAACACACAGGAGCAGAAAGACAAATGTCGCACATCCTCGCTGATGCCTAGAAGTGAGAAAGTCCAGCAGAGAGGCAGAGTGCAGGATGACAGAGTGGTACTAGGGGGGAGGCACTGGTCGAAGGGCACAGGTTAGGGCTGGAGGAGGAAAGCATAAGTATCTGAGGCAATGGTATTAACTAGCTCTGCTTTCTCCTTCCATACTGTGTGCCTATATTGCAGTGTCAGCTGTTATCACACAAACATGCGTGACTGTAACTTTATAATATCAAATATAAATAAAGAAATAAAAACAAAATTCTTTTCGCAGCCTAGTTTTTAACCTGGATATGTCATTACTTCAATTGAAAAGAAAATTTTGTTGCCTACTATTGGTCCAGATATCTATAACATACTAAAAGCACAACCCCACTATAAGCAATGTCTAAATGTCAACAGTGTTGAGTTTCGCAAATGGACAAAAGATCTTGTTACTGGATTTCGAAGTAGGATCTGGAAGTTGTGGCAGCCCATGAATATCACCACACTGTAAACAGAAGGCAGGATTTTATATGTGTAAGTATTGGGGCATTAATGCAGAAAAGTGGCTTTATAGAGCCAGGGTTTTAGCTCAGTGGTTTTGCCACCTGCTGCGCAAGCGCAAGGACCCGAGTTTGATCCCCGGTACCAAAAAAAAAAAAAAGTGGCATTACACCCACTTCAACGTGTGCGCTCACCTCTAACCATGAGCTGCTTTGGTCACAGCTACACATTTTACTGCTGCTCTAGGAAAACATATATTTAAAATTCGATAATAATTTTTTGAGCATTTGACTTTCTGTAGTGTCCACTGGAACGTCTCAAACACATTCCTGCTCATCACAATCTTTGGTCATGGAGATGAACACAAGGACCCAAAAGACGTCATGTGGATATCCTCCAAAAATGGAAATGTTTTGCAAATTGAGTAGAAGATTTAAACCTCTGGCAAAGAGTCTGCTGTGGTTGGAGCTCTGGCAGAGAACTCCTGGGCCCTAGAATGTAGGTTTTATAGAAATGCAGGGGGAGAGACAAATGCCACCTGCTCGGCAAGGCAGTTTTAAAGCTAACCTCACCTGACTGTGTACAAGGGGAGGAGGGAGCAGGCGACCTGCTGCCCACCTGTGGCCGGGAGGCACCGAGGCTGGCCTGGTGCTAAGCTCCTGGGGTAAAGCAGGCCTCAGAGCACTCGGGCCCCTAGGCACACAGCAGACTCTAGGGCTTTCAAGGATTATTTCCTACCTGACTTCAAGTCCCTGTGTCACACTGAGGCAAGCAGCGTGTGCTTAATGTGTACGGTCAGAAATAGGAATGATGGGCTATTGGGCAATGCCACCCAGGCTGCGGGGCTGAGGCTGCACGGGCTGATTGCTAAGCTTGAACAGCAGGACCTTGCTCCTCCTAGAGGAAGAAAGGATGTGCTGCTTGCCCTGTCCTTCCCATCTGTCCATCCACCAGACAATCCATCACCTTTTCACACCCCGACCCACACATCCATCAACTCAGCCATCACGTAATGGTCTTCTCTGCATCAGGCCATGTAGTAGTTGCCACAAATACAGACATGGAAAGATTCTGTCTTCGCCATCTGGAACTAAGGGTTTATGGAAACAAAGCAAGGGGACATTTCAGTCCAGTGTGGTCATTATTATGGCAGATGGATGCTCAGAGGCAGGAAATACCAGGTGCTGAATAAATAGACAGATGGTGAATAGTAGAAGTCAGTAAAGAAGTAAGGGAGAGAAGAAAGAAAGGAGGAAAACAGTAGGTTAATCACAGAAATAATATTGTGTTTCACAAGATTGCTTGGCCATGTCTTTGAAGAGCAGGTATCAGCCAGGTGAAGGAGCCAAAGTGCAGGAAAAAATGATTTCTACAGAAAGCGCTGCATAGGCAAATGACAAGGCAAGAAAAGTCATGGCCCCTCAAAGGAACCAGAAATCCTTGCTGGGCCTGGAGACCAACCAGGAGGGATGCAAGGAGCTAGCAGGTAGGCAGCAGTGAAGCAGTGGAGAGGTCCTGATGCACCGTGGCCAGAGTGGAGGCTGGGGCTTTGTGAGCTAGAGTGGAAAGATGGATGGGAAAGGTAAAAGGAGGCCTGCTCGATCCAGGTCGGCTGTCTTGAGGTCCCTGCCAGGGACCACATGAGTGGCAGGCAGGCCCCACCCATGGCACAGGCTTGGCTCTAGGCAGAGCTGGCTCTGGCTATACCCTGCCTGTGTGCACACTGACTGGTGACACAAACCTCCCCATGCCCTTGGCCTCCTCACTTGAACATCTAGCAAAAAAAAAGGATTCTGGAAGATCTGAGTTCAGACAGCCGTTTCTGTGACTTCACTGGCATGGGGGACCCACGCACAGACTGAAGCTGAGGTGCAAGCATCAGTGCGCACACGGCCTGGCCTCTTCCTCCGCCTGCTCCTTCCCTAACCCAGAACTTCACCTACGGGCTCAAAAATGCCCTAGCTTGGGACACAGCTAGGCTGGCTTTTGGCTTGGCCTCTGGCAAGCTAGGCCAGGAAGGGGCAACCTTGTTTGATTGAGAGCTCCTTGAAGGGGCCCTGTCTCCCCAGAGTCCGGCTCTCTGAGAAGAAGGAAAGGAAAAGAGGGAAAGCATGGAGAGTAGCAGAGTGGAGGAAAGAAGGAATGGGGCGGCTCTTTCTGCAGGGACATCTTCCCAAAGGAGAAGCGTTACAACACGTGGAAATGTGTCTGCTCCACTTAGTATCACCCATGGCCTTACACGTGGTTCATGTGCCCCTTGTCCTGGCAGAGTGGCTGCGTCCCTTGTGCACACGGGCACTGACCAGGAGGCAGGTGTGGCTGCACGGTGGAAGTCAGGAGCCTGGGGACATTGGTCCAAGGGAACTTTAAAGAACCCTTTCCCACACAATTCTACCTTTTGTCATCCTCGCACATATTGTTAAGTTACTTCTGCTCCAGCAGTGAAGAACCATTATTCACATCAAGGACCACTGGTCTACAGGAAAAGCAAACCGGTGACAGCCCCAGGCACCCAATGGGACACTTAATTCTGTCTAATAGAAGACAGCAGTCATGCTTGAAGAAATGCACACATTTTAAACTTAGAAACAAATACACAAAACATTTGTAAACTTAGATTATGGAGTCTGGCTAATTAAAGCAACACTGAGAAGGGAAGGGGGAGGGTGGGTTCCTTTCTGGAGGGCATTTCCAAATTGTCCTTCATGGCTCTGTTCTGATTCTTATTCACAATCCAAGTCTAGTTTGATTTCATTGCACTTGAGTGCAGATAATAACAAGTAAGAGCCAGAAAAACCTCAGGACTATATCATTAACTTCGGGAAAAAATGTTAATTAGTACCATGCCTAAGCATCCCCCTTCCACTGTGCACAAAAATCAAGAAACAGGAGGACCAAAGAACAAGAACGGTGCTCTGAACTGACACTGTGAGCCCAGGGCATCCTGACCTGCAGACCAGGTGCACGATGGGAAACTCCCACCCCAGACAGTACCTTTTCTCCAGGTGGGCAGGAACAGTTGATGGTCTTCAAGAACCCAATCTGTTCACTGCCAGGAGTGGGCGGCTGCAGGGGTGGAGGTGGAGGTTCTGTCACCACAGTCACCTGGCACTGGAAGGAAAGGTCAGTCAATCATAATCTGGCTGCTCACCCAATGACCACTCCATGGCAAGGGCAGGATCTCTGAAGCTTCTAAGAAACTGGCCAGGCAAACCAGACCCCAGGCCACGAGGACCTCTGAGCATACTGGGTAAGAGGGCAGGTCATGTCTGAAAGTGGGTTCCTAACTCCTCAAGGCTTTGGGGAAAATGGGCCTGGCCAGCACAGCCTCAGCCACTACACTGACCAGCTCTTTAACCATGAGCCTCAATGTTCAGCACTGTGGAATGGAGTCAAGGGTCATTTCTTCCTAAGGTCATCAGGATCTAATGAGCCAACATGGGAAATACCCCACTTTGGCTCTTGCACCTGGCATCCCCTCCTCTTCCCTCTCTCTTTATTCTCCCACCATCTATCATTCCTCCTCTCCTTCCTGTTTTTCTCTCTCCACAACCAGGTCCATCGGACTCCATACCCCAGGACCCACTGTATACCAGTATTCCCTAAGTGCTGAGGTGGGAACCATTATTATGTGTTTCCTGTGTCCAGGGGCCTGGACCAGCCGAGCACTGCACACAGACTCCACCCCTCATCTCTGGGAAGTGGGCTCGATGGTAATGCTCATCTTCCTAGTGAGCTTTGGAGCTAGGCTTTGGTGGAGGGTAGAAGTGGGGAAGGGCTGAAATGGATGGGAATGAGGCCCAGGTGGGGGTGGGACAGGTCCTGCATGCAGTGGCCAGCATGACTGAACTTCCTGTCTGGCAGCCCAGCCAGGGCACTGTGGCCTCCCCCTCTTCCGAGCACTGGTCCCTCCTTAGGGACATCCTCCAGCCTTAGCCTCCTGTGCTCCTGAAAGCTGAGTCTTATCACATGACCCATCAGCTTCAGGTCAGCCTGGCTGAGGTGCAGACAACAGCAGGCCTCTGGGAGGACCTGCCTCACTCGGCCCCCCGCAACTCACACCAGTGCAACCTTAGCATGACCACCAGACTGCCCTTCAAGCCACACTCTGACAGCCAATGCCCCCAAACTTTGCTTGTTCCTAAGCCCTGGACACCCTTCCACCCTCCGAAGCTCATACAAACCCCTCCCACCCTCTCTGTGCAAGAATCTACTTACTGGGCCAGACGCGATGTCACAACAAGTCTCTAGCTCTGCATGTCTGGAGTCGCAGTAAATTACAATTCTTTGCAGGTCGAACTGGGAAGGAACATGGAGAGAGAGGATGAGCTTTGGGGACTTGGAAAAAGCCTCCATGGTGTCAGACAGGCCCTCTAGGTGTCAGACTCCCTTACTTCCTCCTTGGGGTGCCTCCCAGCTGCTCTCCCTTGCAGGACTTCATAGGGTCCCAACCCATGACCTACTCAATCCCCCTCTCTGTGCGTGCGGGGGATGCGCAGGCATGGTCTGAAGCCTACATGTCCTTCCTCTCTGCCCTTAGCCACACACAAGGGCACATGCTCCTCCCCCTCCACGTCACAGTGACTTCAGGCAACACACTTCCTCAGTGACACAATGGCACTCGTCTCTGAATGCTGAACATATTTCAACCTCCCTGGACATCTCCACACAGTAGCTTAAGATAGCCGAGATTAAAACCCACTACTACCACACCTTTAATACTACTGCTTCTTAAGCTTATACATTTAAAACATTAAAAAACCCTGAAAATTTACAGGGGTGAGGTGTTTAATACACATACACATTTATACACACACACACACACACACACACACATTTACACACACAGCCTTCGGTGGGACACTCCAGCCCTTCAGAGCCTGGTTCTCTGATCCCCAGTCTTCTCCCCACTCTGGGCCTGTGTTTTGCAACACCCCACTTCCCAGTAACACATAGAGCAATATGCAGCACCCACATCCAGACCTCTGCATGTGGGACAAGGGACAATCTCCACGCCACCTTCAGGTGCCCTTCTGTGGCTGGTTTTGAAATAGATCCTCAGATACCTTGACACACCTTTCTTCGGGACACTCAGTTCCCTTCCCCATGTGTGCAGCATAGATTTGGTGACTGGCGTCTGATGAGTCAGTATATTAGTCTGCTTTCCCATCCCTAAGACACAACACCCAACACCCACAACTTAAAGGAGGAGAGTTTTATTTGGCTTGGATATCAGTGGGTGCAGTCCATGGTCAGCTGGCTCCAAGACAGAAACAGCACGGTAGAAAGGCATGGCACAGGAAAGCTGCTTACCCTCAATAGCCATGAAGCAGAGAGAGGGAGGAGCCAAGTAGGAAGATATGCCACGCAAAGACATGCCTCAGTGACACACCACTTCCAACGGGCCCTCCTCTGAATACAGGAGACTTTGGGGGCTCATTTTCAATCTAAACCACAACAATCAGCTATGACAAAGGCAATGGTGTGTCCCTTCTGAGACCAGGTAATAAAAAGCCTGTCTTCTACCTTACTTGGTGTCCTTCCTTCCTTCTCCTTCTCACTCCCCCTCCTCCTTTTCCCTCTCATCGCTCACCCTGGGGACACCAGCTGCCCCATTTCAAATGGCTCCATGGATGGGATTGTACGCAGGCTAACTAGGGCGTCTTCCAAAAATCAGTTGGCAAGGAACAGAGGTGATCATCTCAGTCACCCACAGAAAGCTGCCAGCAGCCCCCAGAGTGAGCTGCGTGGATGCTTCAGGCCTGCTGAAGTGTTGATATGACTGCAGCACCGGCCAAAAACTCGATGCCCTCCTGGAAGACCTGTGGGAACCATCCAGCTAAGCCACCTCCCGATTCCTGAATCTATGGAAGGATAAATGTTTGTGGTATCCATCCCCTTTTGTTGGGAGAGGGGTGGGACAGTTTGTTATGCAGCCACAATAACCAATACACCTCCAGCTACTGCTGAGAGGAGCTCCCCAGGCTGCCTTCTCAGCCACATCCGCATACCCAGCAGACTGTAAGGTGACTGATGCCTGTGTGTCTCATTCTGGACCCCCAGTCCTTGGGAGCAGAGATGGGATCCGGGGCACTGCTGTCTTAAGCAGGTAGGTGAAGTTGGCAGCACCACACTAAACCAGAGCTGGCCAACTCAGGCTGCTCATGCAGCTGCAGCTCACCTCCAGACCACTGGAGCACACTGAGCTCTGGCTCACATTCTCTGCTCTCCTGTCCGCCCCTTTGCCACTGGCCCACTTCCCACCTCATCACCACTAGCCAGGCCCAGGGTCCTGTCCCTCCAACACCACCCTGTGCCTCTTCACAGGAGCACCTGCCGGGACACATCATTGTGTGATTCTTCCTTCACTCTGAAAATCTGATTCCTCTGCAGGAACATCGGCTCTGTATCAGGAAGGCCCCTGACACATGGTGGAGGCGGCATAGGCACAGAATTAGTGGCAGAGTCGACTTCAACCCCATGGACTTGAGTTGAATCGCTGGATTCGGGGACACACTGGATTCGAGTTCTCAGCACACTGTGAGGTGTGCGGTCACCCCCATGACCTCTGCTTCCTGCCTGAATAACGTGTCCTTTGACGCATAGTCCCTCACCCCACTGATGCTGTTCTGCAGAAACCGTCACAGTTCTGTTCATCCGTCTTTCATTTCCTGCAGAAACACCAGCCCAGAAACAGGAGAAAATGGCAGAATACATCATCTTCATTTCGAGAAAGTCTGGTCTGCAAGAAACCCCCTGATTTCTCCCTCAGCAAACATCCATTCACAGGGCTGGCCTGCCTGGCAAGGCTACAAGGACAGAGCTGGAAGAGCAGGGGCAAGGAGTCAGGATGGGGCAGAACACAGTCTGCCTGGGCTCAGCAGGGACCCTTTTCTGTTGCCTGATGTCCCACCCTTCCTCTGTACCCCAATCCTTTCTCTGTGTCCTGAAGCCCAGGGACCCCACCTCCTGACAGCCCTGGGCTCCCCACTCCTGTCTGAAAGCCCCGAAGAGACACACTCAGAAGCTCTGGGCTGCACCCCTGCTTGGGTGGGCTCCCCAGTCGCAGCTCCTCTCTTGGCCCCTCGTTCTGGGGGCTCAGTGGTCCTTTGCTGGCTGCCATGTGGAAATCAGTGGTGGACAGCAGAGAGCCTGGAGCTTGGGATCTACAAGGTGGAGTCGGAGTTTCTGCCCAGCTTTGCTCTCAGTCAGCAGATCCCCTGAACTTCATTTTACTCTTGTGTGAGATGGACTCACTGGACTGTGACGGAGACCAAGGAAAACAGGGCCCATAAGACACATAGAGTCCAGGAAGACAATGTCCCAAACTGCCTGGCTACAAGTACCCCAGACAATGCTACTAGAAGATTCAGCATGGAGTAGAGGATACACTGACTGTCCCCCATGTATTTCCCTGACGGTTCTTCTAGCATAGGAACACAGTGTGGAATGGTAAGTGGGTGCAGTGCTCCCTTAGAGGAGTTCCACAGGCTCTAGGAGGCCCTGGTGTCTGGTTCCAAGCAGTTCTCATTAGTGCCAACAGGCAAGGAGACAATTGAGGGACCTAAGTGTGTCCCCAGACTCTACACTGTTGGAACAGTGAGCTCCATTACTGGCCTCTCATGAAGATCAAACCCAAGACACAGATCAAGGTGTGTGGAAGGACACAGACCGAGCCCCTCCAGCCCCAAAGAAAGCACTCAGCTAGACAGACTAGGAACCACTTGCTAATTTTGCAACTCTGAGCAAGTTATATTATTTCCCTGTGTCTTAATGTCCTTACTAAATGGGAATAAGTGACCTCACAGGGCTGCAGTATGGATGAAAGCAATGGACACATGGAAGCTGCATAGGATGTAGTGGGTAAGACACTGTCAGGAGTGGCTGGGCCTTTGCTGTGATCACACAAGTGCTCACTGCACAGAGTCCCCAGTGGTCTGCATGGCCCACAGAAATCTAAGGTGGAAGACAAACAACAATCACCCAGCACCCTGTCCTCATCCAGTGCTTTCTGGTTCTCTACCTAGTAATAGAATCATGGCTTTAGGGTTTGTTGCCACAGCCAGAATGAAACAGCAGCCCAGTGAAGCCCATGAGGCCAACTCTCGTCCACCAGGAAGGCTACCTGGGTCTGTGCTGGCCAGAGCGAAATTAGGGTGCTGGGCCAGAATGGAAGGAATGGCCGAGAGCTAGAACACATCCAGGAAGGAATCCCTCTGGTTCCTGAGAGGGGTTCCTGATCCTCGGCCTGGCCAACTCCACTTCCTAGAATTTGGAGGGAAACAAGAGGCCTGAGGACATCCCAAGAGGTACTTCCTCCAGGACACCGTCCTGCATGCCCCTTCTGACCCTCCCACACACCCACCCTGCATACGTAGATTGGGTTCTTCTCCTCCGGGCCTTGTAACACCCAATGCTGGTTTGCACTGTGAAGTCTGTGGAACTAGACTGGACAAGCTCAGTGTGAGTCTCTTCCATAGAGAACCCAGGTTCTTTAAAACCACCATCTTTTTCCATCCCACTCGGCACACATTACTGAGTTCCTGCAGGACTCCAGGCATAAGAACAGAGGCACAAGACAGAAGCAACAGCCTCTGCATGGGGCTAGCACCCTTCTGGGCAGGTAGATTGGTGACTGTGGCTCACACACAGCAGTAGGCACCAGCAGGTGTCCCTTTAACACTGTTGAGCTGGACTGGCAGGACCAGGCTGCCACGCACAGGACACAGGTTCTGGGAGCTACACCCCCTCTCTGTCCCTGTCCATGCCTGGATGATCCGAGTTATTGAAAACACATACATTTTGTGGTTGTGTGGGTGTATTCACTTGATAGAACTCACCCAAGTTACAGCTATCCCTTGGCACTCAGAGGCTCTTAGTTCCAGGACCCCTCACAGACACCAAAATCTGAGGATGCTCAAGCCCCTTGTGTACGATAACTAGCATCTGAACATTGGTCTTGCTCTTCTTTGTGGGTTCCACTGTCTCCAGTGCTAGAACAATGCCTGGCACATGGGAGGTGCTCAATATGTACACGATGAATGGCTGAAGAAATGGCTGGACGAATGAATGGTGGTAAATTTGGGCTCCAACCTGAGTCAGCACCCACCATTCTCAGTCCAAGCCGATGACTTGATAAACAGCACATGCAGATTTGGGGACAGTAGGGACACCCCTGGGGGCCCAGTACTCACATCGATGGGCACACTGTCGTAGAGGCGCTTGCCGATCACTGTCTTGCCCTGGATGTCAATGTTCTCTCTCTCCTCAATGGGCAGCATCTGCACCAGTGCACAGTCAACGTACAGGGAAACGTCCTGAGCCTGGATGCTCAGGGCCATCTTGTGCCAGTCTCGGTCAAAGAGGACATTGACACGGGGACCTCGGAACACCACCCTGACAGCATCCTTCATGGCGCCCACCGCATTGTACTCCACCGCCTTGTTCTCGCCATCCAGCCGGATGGAGACCTGGAGGGGACAGGACCAGATTCTCCCTGAGCACTGTGGGTCCAAGTGGGGACAGGAGGAGTCGGGGACTTCAGTCAGAGCTGACAAGGCTGAGTCAGATCTAGGCTGCGACTCTTACCAGTGTGTCAACTGCTGCGTGATCTCAAGCCATCAGAGTCACCCTCTGGGTTCTTGCTCAGCACAGTGGCATCATAGCTACTTCTCGGGCTGCTCTAAGCCCTGTGCTAAGCGCAATCACTGAACCCACAATTCTAGGTGTTCCTGCCCAGGAGGGGCTGTGCAGGTAGAAGGGGTTTTGTGGGACTGGAGTTGTAGTGCAACCAGCCAGAAGTCTCAGATGTCTCTTAAGATTCTTGGCTGGCTAAACCAGACACATCTCCGGCCAGATACCGGCTACCAACCTGCACCCCCATCTGTTAACCTGCACTGACGCTCATCTTGGAGACAAAGCTGAAGTCCCAGCAGAATGAAGTCCCTGGATAGCAGGAGCTTTGTCTGTCCTGGCTGCTGGAGTATCCCAGCCTTCTGCTCAAGGTCTCCAGCATACACCAATTCTAGAAGAAAGTCCCACTTTTGTCTGTTTTTTAAGAATGAATAAGTGAATATGTTCTCCTCCATGCACTCATTTCTTCACCCTTTCAAAAACACTCACTAAGGGTCCCGTGTGTGACAGGCAAGCTTCATAACCAGGTGCCAGGCATGTCACACTGGGTCTTACCTATCAGTGCAGGGACAGAGAAAACAACTCACGGAGTGAAGAAATGACTCAGTGTAATCTTGCTGCCCATGTAGGCTCAGTCCTCATCTGGCCTCACACTCCTCCAAAGAATCACGTTTGGGCTGTGTGACCTTGGACAAGTTAATCAATCTCTCTGTACTGTTCCCTCACACCAAAATGGGAATAGTAATGCCAGCATCATAGACTTGCTATGAGATGAAACGAACAATTACATATGTGAACAATTTATGTGCTCAGCATTGCTCTAAATCTTATTTACAATAACTTAAACAAGTACATTCAAAGGCACCATGGTAATGCAACCTTCCCCGATATGCACAAATAATTGGATTCCATCCTGGCCATCTGTTCTCACCTCCTGAGGCATACTGGTTTTTATCATAGCCCTGCATCGGGATATGAGGTGTTCCTGTTCCTGTCTCCTGTTCACCTCTTTACTGCCTGCCTTCCCCATCCTTCTAACTGTGCACCCTCTAACTGTCCTCACTCTTATTTATCCCAGGGCTAGAACACTGCATGACATACAGTGGTGCTCAATAAAAAGGCACTGAATGAACAAATGAGGTTACAGGAAGGTGCAGGGACCTCAGCCACAGTGTTGATAACATACACCAGGGCTCCTGGGTTCTCTCTCTGAGCTCTACCTGGCCTCAATACAACCCATGGGGACATCAATGCAATGGGGGTGGGGGGAAGGGCTCAATGCAATCCAGGAAGTCCTCAGTGCAATCTTGGGGGACCTTGGATTTATGTTAATCACCCCATCTGCTTCTATGCTATGATTAGAGAGAAAATACAGCAAACCATGGGCCCCAGTCCAATAATCTAATACTTCTTATATACAGAGCCTAATAGTTCCGTGATTACCAACAGTCTTCTACTTCTTGAGAATTGTCTCATAGGCTTGAGCCTGTATCCCTCACCCACTTTGGCTTCCTGATTACTTGGCTTTGCCATCAATGTTTCATTCTGTAGCAGCATTTGAACAAAGGAGGGCAGCCTGGCTTTAAGCCCTGCCTAAGTCTAGCTTCCATCTATACTAGCTGGCTGGCCTTGGAGAGACATTTCATCTCTCAGATCCATCAGCACATCCTGTTGGGTTTATATTTTCAAACCTCACACAGAGTCTGATGATTTCTCCCAATTTCACCATCCCTACCTGGTCCAAATCAGCCTCACCTCTTGCCTTGATTGCTACCACAGACTCCTCACCAGTCCCTCTGCTTCTAGGCCTGCACACTTCCTCAGGGTCTACTCTCCAAGCCACACCGGCATCCTTTCTGTCCGTTTATCATATCTGGAATGTGTGAATGCCCCTCAGTTTACCTACATGACAAGTGGAAAACATGCTAGCTTTCAGGCTTGGCTGTAAACATCAAATGAGCTCAAGGAGACAAACATGGGTGTCTGCAGATCAGAAAGGGCTGTGGAGAGCCCAGCATGTGGTTAACACTGCTCTGCACAGGGTTCAAGTTGCAAGCCTTCAGTCCCCTTCCCTGTGGATGCTAGTATCTCCCCAAGGCAGAAGTGACCTCAGCAAAGACCACTCAACCAAGGCCTCCCAGAGGAAGAAAACTACCAGATGTCTCTTTCAATAGGAGCCTCAGCTCTTCCTGGGCAGACAAGCTCAGCATGGCCCTATGATATCTTCCCCCATGGCTCATTCCAGCAGAAGGAGGGAGGGTGCAGACGTGGCAGAAGGAGACTCAGCTCTGCAAGTGCCATGAAAGCAGAGAGCCCAGACGACGGGGGTGGTGTGGACTCGTCCACAAGAATGTTATGGCATGCACCCAGTCCCATTCCACCAGACCTGAGAAACTGGAGAAGCAAACCCATGTAACTGGAAATGGAAGTGAGTGGGAGCACAGTGAGCAGCCTGCAATGCTCTCTGCAGAAGAATCTCAATCACTCCTTCAGCCTCTTACACTCAGGAAATTGGGCCTGCTGTCTGGTCACACAGAAATATGTGTGCCTCTCAGTGTGCCCAGGTGTGCTACAGAAAATATATGCATCTGTTTGTGCTAGGGGATGCTGTGAAAGAGTGATTTAGCAGGACTAGCTGATCGGGACAGGCCAGCTGAGCACATGGTTAAAGCATCAATTGGGCAGCTCAAGTGCCTGGGTTTGAAACTCAGCTCTAGATCTTATTACCCGTGAAACCTCAGGCAAATCGCTTAGCCTCTCTGTGTTCAGTTTCTACCTCTGGGAGATAATAAGAGTAGGTTCCATGTGTAGGGAGGTGATGAGGACGAAATGAATGAAGATTGGTGAGGTGCTGAAAGCTCACCCTCCATCACACAGAGAGCAGATGTATGTTGGGGAGCAAGGTGTGCTAGCTCAGTCCCCGGGGGAGGAAGCTTGCTGTTCACAGGGAGCTTGCAGGCTCTGACTATGACACTGGTGTGATTGCCAGGCACATGCACATGTTTTCATTTTATTTCAGCCCCACGTGAAAATTTAGACAGGACTCCCCAGCTACAGTTAAAGGACATCAGCACACAGTTTATTTTCCAGGACCTGGCAAAGGTATGGCTGCTCTATAACTGAGAACAAAAGGGCAAAAAATAGAGAGTAGTGTTGCTTTCAACTTAAACCAACAGGCAGCAGTGGAGTCTGTGATTCTGGGATCTGACTTTCCTTACTGCACCATTCTTCCTTGTAGAAATTAAGAGCCAAAACACACCTTACATAGGTGAAGACAGCACTTGCTGCCTGCATAAAAACCCCAGGAGGGCATTCTCAAGTTCTAAGAAGGAGAAAATTGTAAGGTGTCAGACACTGCTCTGGTTGCTTGCAGAAATTATTTTATCTGACTCAAGCATTCTCTATTTTCCACTTTCCAGCTAGGAAAGCAAGGACTCTCGGAGCCCACACCACAAAAGGAAGAGGCACAAGATGCGCCACTTCCAGTGCTACCATGAAGCTGTGTCGTGCATACTGCCAACAAGGCAGGTGCCATTGGACAGCACAGATGGTGGCCACTTCCTGGTTAGCCAGAGAGTCCCAGATGACAGCGACTGTGTTTCCTTCCTTCTCTCAGAATATCTGGTCCTGGGCTATCACTGGGAGAAGAAGTTGGATCCACTGGGCCCTGAGACTGTGCCTTGCAGCTTCTCCAAGCCCATACACCAGTGCCCTGGAGAAAACACAGTGGCTACTGGCATCCCCTGAGAGAAGCAAATGTGAGCTCTGGGCCCATGGACACACAACAGTGCCAGTACCTGGGGGATGCCATACTGGTCGATGACCTGCCAGATGTACCAGTCTTCTTTCCGAGATGTTTTCCGGAACCGGAAGGTGGTGACGAAGGCATACTCATCAGGGAGACCTTGTGGAAACACATCTCTGTGGAGAAACACAGACCACCCTGGGCTGGATGAGGGCAGCAGGCAGCAGGGAGGGAAGCCCACGTACCCCATCAGCCACTGAGGCCTGCCAACGCCCCCTCCCAAGGGTCTCCACAGGACACCTTCTTGGCCAATGGTGGCTGCCCTGTCCTGAAGCCAGGGCCTCAGGGAGACCTGCTGGAGCCATTGCCGTGGTCCGTCACTGTCTACCTGACCCAGCCCCGGTTCCTTGCAGTCCACCCACAGGGTCTATCTGCTTTTGGCTCTGTGTCATCACTGCCCAAAAGTCAGAAATGCTAAGGAGCCATTGCCCCAGGATCACATGCAGTGGAGATGCCAAGCCTTCTCCTCTTCTCCCCCTGATCCTTCTCAGCTAACTGCTTTATCCGACACTGCTTTTCTTCCTGAACCAGGTACCAGGATGCTATGGTCTCAGTGTGTGTGCCACCCCAAATTCACATATTGAAATTCTAACCCACAAGGCAAGGAAGTGGGGCCTTGGAAGGTGATTGTGTTATGAGGGTGGAGCCCGTGATGGTTTGGGTGCCCACTGGATGGAGGCCTCACAGAGCTCGTTCAGCCCTGTTCCCACATGAAGCTACCGGGAAAAGACAGCTGTCTATGAGTTTCCATCTCAGACTTCCCAGCTCGATATCTGTGAGAAATAAATGTCTGTTGTTTGTGAGCTACCCAGACTTTGTCACAGCAGCTGGAATAGACCAGAGCACAGGACTACCTCTTCCCTCCACCCAGCCCTGGGCCAGTAGGTCTGTGTGGCCAGCCCCTCACTTGGGCATCTATGACTCTCTGCTGCTCTACCCCAGCTACCTTTGGAACTGCCCTTTCTCTTTTAAACTCAGTCATGAAAACTGTCCCTTCGCTACTATGGAAAACCAAGTCCTCTACCATGACCCAAGCTCCCAGCCCTCTGTGCCTCCCCAGAGCAGCTGCAGGCCAGCTGTCCTTCGTCTCCACTCACATCATGGACAGAGACTCCAAGCTCCCTTCTGCCTCTCAGATCAGCATTCAGCCCCTACCACGGTGCCACAGCAAGTCCTCCCAGGGCACTGCAGCCTCCATGGGTGTCCCAGGCATCTCTGCCTCCGGCCCTTGTGAATGGGGCTCTGCCTACACTCTCACTTCTCCATCTCTTCCCCTTTTGCTTAACTCACAGCCTCCTGCCTCTGCACCTCCATTCTTCGTACATTTTCCCTATGAGATCCCTTGGGAGGAAACGCTGACAAATCCCTGTCCCCCAGCACCTGCCTTGGTGTCCAGAGCATAGCGAGCTCCCCAAAAATGCTGCATAAAACTGTCTTCATTCTGGTTCCACGGAGAAGTCTTTTTTCCCCAGCCCCAGTGAGGGCCTGGGTGATTTTCCTAGAGCACACATCAAGGACAACACTGACCTGGGAGACATCTGGTTCATCTTGGGTCAGTCTCCTGGCAACATCCCTTGTCCCCTCTTGCTCCAGCTGTGATAATAAAAATGCCTCCAGACACTGTCAAAGTTTATAGGGGCAATGTTTCCCCTGGTTAAGACTGCTGACCTGATCTAGATTTAAAATCTAAAAACATAAAGTTTAGCTTATTTTTTCATAGTGTTTCCTAGGTTAAGAAAATTGCTCACACATATGATCTCATTTGATATAAAAATAATCATTTGATATAAAATTCTAAGATTTAATTTAAAAATAAGAACTTGTTGAGGCCTAATCCAAGCTGGACACTACATTTTCATGTATATCTCATTTCTTCCTGGAAAGAACTTGTGAAGAAGATGTTTTGATCCTGTCCTTACAGGGGTGGGCACCCAGGCTGCCAGGAGTCGACTCCTGGCAACTTGCAGAGGGTCACACTCAGAGGGCTTGGTTTCCACAGCTGTTTCCTTAGCTAGCAGCTGACCAGACCTTCCTTCATTTTGCAGAACTTGGCCATGGTGGACCTGAATACTGCACTGGGGCAGAGGGTTGTGTCTGGGGACATACAGAGCATGGATTTCTCCCTTGGAGGAGGTGGAATCCGTCTGGCCAGACAGCCAGGAAGGGAAGTGGGAAGGCATCTGGCTTCCTGGTTCTTAGATTTGCATGTCCTTAGGGACCCTTCTTCTGGCTACAGAACCTGTGGACAAAGACCAATCTCCTGTGATTCTCAACTCAGAGGCCCAGATACAAGTGGCCCTAGCGTCATGCGCTGAGCTGGAATTTCACCCAAGATCACATCCAAGTAGAGGAATTTGGGCCATCACACACAGCCCTTGGGCTTCCTTCAGAATTCAGGAACACACTGGTCACTGCCCACATGAGAGGACATCCCCACCTCCATCCATAGACCCAGGCTTGGTAGCCATAGAGAGATATTTCACTTCATCTTTTTCTTTATTGCCTGAGGGATTTCAACTGTGCTCCTATTTTCTTTCTGAATATAATTTCTTCTTATATTTTTGAGATACATCCATAGACACACCCATCTGTATGTCCTATAAGATACATGTAATGTGTGTTTATACCTAAGAAAATGTAATTTTAATGCCAAAGATAAAAAAGGTCATTAACAGAGAATATCAGTTCCAATCCTTTCCCAAAATAATGAAGCAGATTACAAGATTACAGTGCAAAGGACAAAGGATTTGGACTTAGAGGACCTGAGTTTGAGGCCACCTCCTCTTCCTGCAAATGGGGATATTTTGAACAAACTGCCACCCCACTCAGAGTCTCAAATGTGTACCAGGTCCATGAGAATAATGCCAACATTGTTCACCTCATTGCATTATAGCGAGAAACAAATTAGATGAGAAGTGTAAAATGCCTTTTACATGTTAAACAATTGAGAAAAAATTTAACATTCAAAGTAATATCCCTTTTCAATTACGAATAAAACTAACCTGCAAATTCAGTTAAGCGTATGCATCTGTGTCTAAGTTTCAATGCATTAGCTATGAAAGGGAAACCATTCTTTCTTGAAATGTCGGAGCTTTATCAGTTTGATTTCTTCCTGAAGTTTTGCCACTAAAACAAACATGAAACCGTCTGGCAGTCCGTCCTGAGGACAACCGTCAGCAGCTCATGAGTCCAAATTCATTGCCCAGCTCTGGGTCTAACTCTCTGTTCCACACAGCAGTGCCTGGAGTAATAGTTCCCTTGATCCATGTGTCTCAAAGGGAAAGAGGCACCTCTAGCAAATAGCAGAGGCCCTAGGTTAGGCCCTGCTCTTTGCCTTGGGCACCGTCTGTTTTCTCTCTGCTTTGTTCTAATCTTTCTTTATTGCATTTTCCTTTAAGACGCAGTCACTTAGGATTTTTGTGTTTGAATGTAAGCAGTACAGTGAGGCTGGTGAATTAAAAAAGGTGAGGGAAGTGAGACTGGAAGCCAGACTCTGCTCATCCTCAGCACTCTCAGGGGACAGGTGACAAGTAACAGCATTGTCTGAATCTGTGCATAGTTATAGAGAGACCAGTGCTCAGTGTCTGTGAAGCCAACTGACTTGGAGTCATCACTGCCTCCATGTAACAGGTGAGCAAATGAGGCTGAGAGAGGAAGGAACTTGCCTCATTTCCTCTCAGTGAAATCTTAGTCACAGAATGCAGACACTGTGAGCCAAGGACAAGATGACCTTAGGGTGTCACACAGAGCCTGCTGCATGACTGGCACTCAAAAGAGGCTCACCAAGTTAAGTGATTGGACATGGGCAAGAATCCAAACTCTGGGACCAGGTGCTCCATGCCGGCCTGGACCAGCTGGAATCTGACAAAGCGCTTTCGTTCACTGAGAGCCTCCCTGACTCATTCACTCAGCAAAGGTCAGTGAGTTCCCTGCCAGGACCAAGACTCAGCTCCCTCAGGAGCTTCTCACTGCACAGTGACCCTGTCTAGAAGGACTCACTGCACAGGTGGTCGGTGGGTTTTGATCTGTGCAGGAAGACAGGCTGTGAAAACAGTGGGCAGAGGGAGGGCCTGGCTTGGCCTGGGAGTCCAGGGACAGTGTCCTGGATAGCATAATAATGGAACTGCATCCTGCAGGAGCAGCAGAGGTAGCCCAGGCAGAGGGAAGGTCCTAGGACCAGAGGAGGTGGATAAGAGAGGCCTGGGAATAAGCCAGGAGACCACACAGCCCAGTGGCCAGATCACACCTGGAGCCTTCCCTATCTACCCAACCCCCAATTTAAAAAACACCTGGAAGCAATTCAAGAATTTTAAGATGGAGCGGAGTTGGCATGACACAGCATCAATCTTGTTTTCAGCTGATCTGTCTGTGAAAAGGAAAGTGGAGCATTTGTTTCTGCTCCTTAGCCCTTGACTAGAGACCCAATGGCTAACCGACATTGGAAAACCTTTACAGCACATCGTCTCTATTAAGGTGCAAGGCAGGACATCCTCCTCAAGTGGAAAACAGGAGGAAACTGAAGCACAGGTAATGTGATCAGATCAGGCCCCCAGTCAGCTCCAAAGTTCAGTCTCCATTGGCCAAAACCACAAGCCAATTCTAGGAGGCTCTGTGCCCAGTCTCCAATTGGTGCTATGTACCTGTGACCAAAAATGCCTGTTATGCAATGGAGTGATAGGAAAGCACATGTATGAATGAATGATTAATGCCAAGTGTGAATGGAAAAATGAGTGTATCATCAAAGCCAATGATACTAGAAGGGTATAAAAACAGATCAAATCCCATCAGTTCCTGAGATGCTTTCCCTCTCTGTGACCTCCCAGGCACTGCTCAGTGGGGTTCAGCCCAGCTCCGTGCTGAGTGTGTAGCTGTGCCTGGTCACCCCTTTCCTGCACTGTCCCAAGGCATTCAGAGTGGGCCTGGAAAAGCAGTGACCACTCACTCAGTCCTCTGCACCACTGGAAAGGATCCCATCCGCACATAGGAACTCTGGGCTCCGTTCTCTCTCTTCCCCAGGATTTCCTTCACACTGAACAGATCCATCAGGTCAAAACCTGTGCAAAGAGAAGAGGTGGGAGTGAGTCTGGCAGAGGAAGAGTATTCAGGAGAGACAAAGGAACAGAGAGTTCCTTCTGCAAAGGCAGCTTCCCTCTACCTGTCTCAGGGGGTATATATGCTCCCAGGGGCAGCAGTTCAAATACACATGATAGGATGGATGGAAGAACACAGTGAATGTTTAAATATTAAAAATTATTGCAGTAAGAGACACATTGCCATCAGTCCCTCTCAAAATACTTCAGATGCACTTATTCCATCCTCCTTGCCATTTTCTGAAGCAGTTCTGGAAGTCCTTGTTTGTGAGTGTTTTTACTTGAGGTGTTGTGGTGACCTAGATGCCCTTAATCAATTCAAAACATTTACCTTTCATGGTCATTTGGACTCTGGGGAAGAGCCAGAAATTGCACAGTGCAGATCTGCTGAGTAAGTTGGAAGAGGACTCACCATAGGGTTGTTATGAGCCTGCCTTTCGGTTGGATGGAATTTGGCAGCAGCACGCACCATATTTGTGACCATACCTCATTAAGACACTCATGAAAGAGAACCTGCAGAACTGCTTCAGAAAGTGGCAAGAACAATGGGATAAGTATTGTCAAGTGAAGGGGAGTATTTTGAGGGGCATTAATGGCAACATGTCTTTTACTATAATTATTTTAACTAGACACACACTATTTTGTGATCAGCCTTATAAATCCAGGGAGAAAACAAATGACAGGCATGAAGCACACAGCCTCAACTCCTCTTCCAGAGAAAGGGCTGCTTTTCCCACTGGAACAGGAGCACCAAGAGCATCCTGGATCACAGTCGTGCACAAGACACAAGGCAGGTGTCCCGATTGTCTCTTGCATGGGGCCTTTGGGGTCCCAGAAGCTCAAATGGTGCCCTGGCTCTGCAAGTAAACCTCAGTTTAGGGCTTTCCTTCCTGTGTTCACATTTTTTGCCTTTCATCGGGATTTTGCTTGGATTATGGTTTGGCAGCTTTGAAGCTGCATAACTTGAAAGAAAGAAACATCAGAGGGAAGAAAAGTATCTATCTTTCTGACACTGCATTAATGAGAAGCGTTTATATTTTGTTTTGCTGTGCCATAAGAGAGGACCTGAGAGTCACTGTAATGAAAAGGTAGTGGGCTGGTCATAGGCTTGGGCCCAGAAGAGTGGTAAGGGAAGGGACAGGGATTAATATGTTCAGTCACATATGTGTGAGTATGTGTGTGTGTGAGTGTGTGTGTGTGTGTGTGTGTGTATAGAAGTTCTTGCTTGTATATAGAGGATACAAATGCCTAAAGGACAGGGCTGCCAAGATTATACGGACACTGAGTACGCACCACTCAGCAGGTGGCAGAAAACACAGAAACCCAGTCTGTTCCTAGGAACTATTCACCGCCAGGAGCAACTTCCCCACTTCCCCATCTCGGTGCTTTTACAAAGTTGTGTGGGCTGAGCGAGTCCAGAGACCTGATGGGGCCTGCAGAGCAGGTCCTCAAGAGGCCCTGTGGTCAGCCGTGTCCTGGAGCCTGACACTGTGATGTGGAGCAGACTTGTGAGCCTGGGATTCTGGACCTGGGGGCCCTGAGAAAGCACTCAGTAGGGTGGAGGGGAGCCAGGTGGGGCTGGCAGCACTCTCAGTGTCAGTGGTACCTAAGCCATGGAACCTTAGGAAGAGTCCCTCACTGTCTCCAGCATTCTCACAGACTCCCATGAACAACAGGGAAGTACTTGTAGGGCCCGCAAGACAGTAATCAAAGCTTGTGCTAAATTCTGCCCAAAGAGACCATTTATCCAATCAACACCTGAGAGACTACTGTGTGGCTACTGTGTGCCACGCCCTGAGTAAGAACGGTGAGGGAAAGAAGGGCTTAGCACAAAGGAACACCATGCCTTTGTAGTGTGGCCTTGCACGGGTTGCCTGATGTCTCTGTACCCTGGTTTCTTCACCTATAAAAAAGGGATTGTTGTAGAATGCGCCTCCTAGGCTTGCTATGAGAATTAAACGCTGTGATCCACAACTCTTCATACAGTGCCTGACACAGGAGATGTGATCAAAGTACAGTGATACCTCACTCCACGGGCTTAACTCTTTTCACAATTCCGGTCACATAGACGCTTGCAATTTCATTTCGACCAAAATCATGGAATAAATTCTGTGGCCAGAATCATGGAAAGAATTAAGTTCACGAACCGAGGCACCACTGTGTACAGTGAATGTTTAAATAAAAATCCTCTGCTACAGTAAAAAACTCATTAATTGCCATTAATCCCATTCAGAATATTTCCCCTCCCTTCCACACACTAGTCCCGCCTTTCTTGCACCTTCTGAAGCAGTTTCGGAAGTCCTCTTTGTTAGTATCTTTATAAGGTGTGATCAAAAATGTAGGAAATAGCAATACTGAGACCATCCAAGAGAAAAGCAGCCCATAAAAACAGGATAGTGTGTCCTCATCCACTTTATTTACTATACCTGGTGCTGTGCACCTTCTAGGCCATCCACCAAGTCAAAAGGACCACAAAAGGTCAATGTTTGAATCAACTGGGGACGTGAAGGCAGCCAGGTCCACAAAACTAAAGACACCCAGGAAGGAGGACTTCTAGAACTGCTTCAGAAAGTGGCAAGAATGAAGGAATGCCTGTGTTGGAAGGGATGGGGAGTAGACTGAGGAGGGTTATGGCAGTGCGTCGTCTACGGTGACAATGGTTTTAAATTTACACATTCACTGTATTTTTGATCATACCTCATCCAGTGAGCAATCAATAGCTTGTGTATGGACTATTTTCTCATGGTAATGATCACAACACCCTGTGCCACTGGACTCTGGAGCGGTGAATGGGGCTCCTCTCTAGCAGGAGACCACTCCCTGCTCCAGGCTTGTCTCCTCTGCATTTCCACACTACCGGGATCATAAGCCCCTTGGGCAACTGAGGACACAGGGCCCTGGGACCGCTCCTCCCACACTTCTCCTTGTGTCGAATGGAACACTGGGTCAGTACTGTGCGTGACCCCTGGGAGTCCTCTGCCCTGCAGAGTCCCAAGATTGAGAAGTGACGCCTTGGAAGATCTCTCAGAGCTTTGTCTTTCTTTCCTGGCACTGGGGGTTGACTGACGGGCCTCACTCATGCTAAGCGGCACTGAGTTACATCCCAGCCTAAGAACTTCAAGTTTTACATAAGAAATCGGGAGGGTCCTGCCTGGAATACAGTGAGTGCTCACTAAATGCAAGATGTTCTTTAACCCCTGACCCTGACTGAGGGCAAGAGCCCTCCCCTGTCCCGTAAGGAGCTCTGAGCAAATATTCTCAGATGCTCTACAGATTCTGGCAGGGCAGCTCCCCAACACCCAGGCCAAAGGAATGGACTGCAGGTAAGTGGGGCGTATGCAGTGGGTGCCTGTCACAGTCAACAGAGGCCAAGGCACAGTGGGCACCCACAGACTCAGAGCCAGGTGGCTTTGAGGACATTATCTGATTTTGTTCAGTGCAGTTCCTTAACTGGAAAACTGAAGGACATGATGTGCTGCAGGACGGTGATGAGACTTAAGATCATGGCATAATACAGTATCCACGCAGAAGCCAGCATCCAGGAATTGTCCAGGTGATGCTACCAGCTCTCCCTGAGGACCTCAGAGGAAACAGGGAGACTCCTGTTCTCTGATGGGTTCCCCGATCCAGGAGCCTTATACCCAGTGACAGCTCTGCCACTTCTCCCAGAGCATCACTATAACCCAGGTTATAGAGCCAAGCTCCAATCAAGGAACACACCCAGAGCAGTCACCTCTCCAAAGGGAAGAGTCCTGGGGAGACCCCAAGAGATGCCTGAGCTGTGGAAGCCAGTGGCACCAGGAGAGGGAGACATGCACTGAGTGACAGACAGAAGCCCTCCTTACCTCTCACTGCATAGCCAGGCACAGCCCCCAGCCCACTTAGAATAGGGACTTGGTGCCTCATGGTCTGAGGTTCAAGCATCACCTGAAGTCAGTGGTAAGTGGTGACCCCAGCTCTGAGCCTTCAGCAGGCCTGGCCAGGAGCAGCTTTGGGATCCTGCTAAGCCCCAAGCAACAAGGGACCTTTCACAACCCAGAAAGTTGCCACATGTCTGTATCTGCATTATCCCAGTGGGGCTGGGGATCCCGGGACAGTCGGAGGGCTGCAGCTTAGGGGTGGGGGAGATGGACTCAGGAGACCCTAGAGGGTGTGGCCTGAAAGGAAGGAAGGCACTGCCTCAGATGCCTGGCCTCTGACCTGAGCTCAGACTCAGTTGCCAGGGATTCCCTAGCCCCTCCAGCCCATTTCTGCTCTGTGCAGAGGGGGCCGAGTGTGCTGCCCCCAAAACACAACCCCTGGGGCGGATCTGGGAGGGCGGCAGCAGAAAGTATGGCTCCCACTCAAGAGAGACTCAAGGGGACTTGCCTGAGTGAGGAATCAGAGATCAGAGCCTGAAGGCAGCCTGTCCCTCATGTGCTGTCACTACAAAGGGCCGCCTTCATCTACAATGACATGTGGGTGAAAAGCAAACATGCTCCGTGTTGTGCTTCCACTTGTATTGGTTTCAATGAATAAAAAACAAAGACCTGATTAAAATTACAAAATTTTAAACAGCAAGCAATTAACTAGGGGCAGCAAAGGGTACCAAGAAGATGAATTTCCAGGAATAAATTAGGGCCAGAAAAATGAAAAACTTTCCTGAGATGAAAGGATGGTGAAGCAAGGTATCATGAGGTGAAGCAGTAGTTATTTAAAGCAAAAATCAGGAGGGGCACCTCAGTGGTGTAGCCCCAGAATCAGCTGAAGCCTGTGGAGACACTGGCAGTAGGCAGGTTGTGCTAGGTTACTTCCTCCTTCACTAGATGGAGCCCTGGGGTAGGAAGGGGCCAGATGCCATTCATTTTCCTATCCTTAGCAGGTCTGGCAACATACTGCTATCCTTTCCTTTGGATATGTGCACATCCAGCAGTGAGATTACCAGTGCATCTATTACTTCTCCCATTAGTGTTTTGAGGAACATCTAAACTGCTCTCCAGAATAGCTATACAAACTCACATTCCCACCAATGGGGAATCAAAGTTCCCCTTTCTTGGTATCCTCATCAGCACTTTTTTCATCTTTTAACTATACCATGGTTTATGGGTACTCATTGCTCCAGGAGCCAAGATAATACAAAACAAATCATTTTGGCTGGAGAGGGGTAGGAGTCGAAAGGCAATTGACACTGATACCTTCTAACTTGCACATGGAGTACCAACAAAGCATGAATAATACCAGCACAAAACATTCATGTCAAAATGCACCAAATACCAAATCTGATGAGTTTCAAAGCAATGGAGTACCAAGGTATGACTGTAGTTAATATTAGTTTATCTGAGACATTTGAAAATAGTTACAAGAAGTTTGAATATTCCCAACACAGACAAATGAGAAATGTTTCAAGGTTATGCAACTAATCATGACACATTGTATACATGTATCAAACACACTATATGTACTCCAAAATATGTACAACGTCATATGTCAATTTATAAAATTTTTCAAAGTTTGGTGCTTTTGTTGTTCCTTTGGAGGCACTCTTTATGGAAAGAGGGAAGGAAGAAAGGAAGGAATTCAGCAACCCACCATTAAGGGCTTCCTTTGTAAGAGATGCCTGGCTAGCTGCTCAGAATCCAATAAGGAACAGGGATCTTGGCTGTTCTGGAACATGAGGAGTCACAGCAAGGGGGATACTGGCTAGGAATGAGGTTCACAGGCTGGCTGTGCTGGCCAGTGGGACCAGTGGAGGCTCAGTTTCTTTCTGCAGTCAGGGAGGAACCCCAGAGGGCTGTACCACAGGGAGAAACAGCCAGGTTCCTCTGCTTTAAGGTGCACATGGAGAAGGTAGGGAGACCAAGAAGGAGCAGGCGAGCTGAGACAAGAGAGAGGAGGGGTGGAAGGTGCACTCCAATTGTAGAACTTTTCAGGAAGTAAAATGGGCAGTGTCTTAGTTACTTTCCTCATCACTGGGACAAAATACTGGATGCCTGTAACTTAAAGGAAGAGCAGTTTATTTTGGCTCACAGTTTCAGACGTTTCAGTCCATGGTCAGCATGCTTAAATATGGAAACAGTATAGTGGGAGGGCCTGGAGGAGGACAGCTGCTCTCATCATGGTGGCCAAAAGCAGAGAGAGAGAGACATAGAGAGAGAGAGAGAGAGAGAGAGAGAGAGAGAGAGAGAGAGGGAGACAGGAGCTGGGGAGGGAGAGATACCCTTGCAGATCATGCCCTAGTGAGCTGCCTCTTCTTCAGATCAGACCCTGCTCCTAACTGCAAACCAGCTATATCGCCCCACGATTCAATCACCTTTCAAAAGCCCCACCTATGACCTCCTGAAGTCTTCAGGGGACATTCTGGAGCTAAACCATGACTGGCAGGACCTGAATATCTGCATGTGGAGGCCCAGGTGAGAGGAGAAAGAATTCCAGACCAAATTCCAGACCAGCATAGTGTGGAACAACGTAGTCTTTAAACATCAAGAATTAAATCCCAGGAAAATATTGTAACATTTTGTGACTCAAAATTTGAAGAATGACCATTAAACCCTTGGAATTACCAGTCAGATCTAGTTACAGAGATGGGGACACTGAGGCTCAGAGAGGTCAGAAGCTTGACACACAACCACCTGGCTGGCAAGCAGTAGGTTCATCTAAGATCCCGGGCTCTATCTCTCTTGTTTATTCTTGTCTTCGTCTTCCTCATTTCAGCCCAGATAATCCTTAAAGGTAGTTAGAGTCATTCTAAGGAAATACATTGAGGTGAGGCTTTGGGGAGGTGCATTTTTTTTCCAGAATACAAAAGCTTCTGTGATTGCTTGGTGCCATTTAAATGGGCAAGTCCGAGGCTCATCTCTCTGTAACTCCCTCATTAGCCTCACATAGCTGAAATACTTTTTCAGGGCCAACAGTTAGGAGACTAGACAGCAGACAGAGCAGGTTCTCTGTGCACACAGAGCTATGCAAACAGGTCAATGCTCTGCGTGGGGATGGAGGCCCACATGGTAGTGTCATTGAACCCCTGGGAGTTTCCATAGAGAGGACTCATAACAGAGGGCCCTGCTTTAATCCAGTCACCAAGCTGGCTTTTCAGCAGGATTCTCCTCATATGCCATGGATTAGAATATATGTGCAAAGTTCTTCATATTCACACATACGCACATGTTCAGGGAAATGCTGAGACATACGCGGGCGGGTGAGCACGCACACACACACACACACACACACACACAGAGGCACTGTTTCTGATCCTTCCCAGCAAGAATCAATTGCTGCTAAGTAGAACGAATGCAATGGCTTGTTGCTCTTCGGCCTGTAGAATGGCAGGAAAGCTTTAGACTCATTCTAAGTTGTAGCTGACACAGGCAGACTCATTTGCTCATCTGCCCTCCTTTTATCCTTCCTCCTTTCTCCGTTGCTTCCTTCCATTCTTCCTTCTTACCCTAACTCTCATTTGCCTTTCTAAATCTCCTGCCCATTCACCCCACCTCCCATTTGGCCATTCACACTTTACATCAGGCTTCCTCCTTTCATTCATGCACCTATTCATTCATTCAGCACAGATCTATTGAACTCCTTCTAAGAGCCAGGTACTGTTCTATGCCCTTAGGACACACAGAAGAATTTCAAAGTAAAACAGGCCCTGCTCTCAAACAGCTCATATGGTTCCTAGAGAAGAAGACAGGGAAGCAAATAATTACACCTTCTGATTGGAGTTCCCAGGATAGGATGAAAGGTTAAAAGAGCAGTTAGAGACCCTATTGGGCCCTGAAATGATTTCTCATAGGTGATTGTTCAGTTGGGCTTTGAAGGATTAGTGGGAGCTCACTGTGGGGATAAAGTGGGAATGGGAGCACTAAGCAGAGGAAAGGCTATCAGCCAAGGGGAACACTATACCTTTCGGGACCAGCAAGCAACCCAAGAGCCTCAAGACTATGCTAGAACCAAAGAGACAGAACCCTTCGGGAGGAGCTAAGAAACACAAGTACTCTGAGAGCCAGAAGATCTGAGGGTTAGATTTGTTGATGCGCAGTAGGGAATAGGGCAGTGAGAGAAGGAGGCACACTGGTTACAGGGATGCCACAGCAGTGCAGGCGAGAGGCAGAGTGTGCTGGATTCACATGCAGCACCTAAGGGTGAGCAACTTCAGTTTCTACAAACTCTGCCATCCCAGGAGTAGGAGTAAGGACAGGAAAGTCCTCTGTTCCCCAACTTTGAAAGGACCAGACAGATGCAGAGCTCTCCCCCACTGGCCCATGGCCCCCTCCCTTCTCAAGTGGGAAACACACCAGCTTCTGATGCTCAGGGGCACTCTGCCCACATTGTAAGAAATCCTGGGAGATGAGCTGTCACGTGGACCTGAGACTAACTCCACCTTGATCAGTGGAGCTGGGGGGCTGTGGGCTGCTCCCTGGAGTGTCAGCTCCCTGGCACTTTCTGCCCATTGTACGAACAGGCACAGCAATCTTCTACTGTTCTAGAAAACTCCCTCAGGCTCCAAGGCCCAGGTGCTGGCACTCGAAGTCTCTGGGGCAGGAAGACATGGCAGGGTCCCCAGGGTGCAGGCGGGGCAGCAGCTGTGCCTGCCCAGCACCTCATCCTGACCTCCCTGGGCTCATTGGCTGGGACAGGTGGCAAACACATGGGAGAACTGAACCTGAGAGGATGCAGGAGGCAGAGAAGGACCCTGACCAGCAGGTGTCAGTGAGAAGAACAAGGTGGTGATATCCTGGGCATGGGAGGAGAAAACACTACCCTGAGTTCACGCACTTAGATTGCTTAGCAGCAAGTCTGGCCACAGGGAAGACTAATCAATGCCAGCACCGTCAGGCTGCTAGGGACACAGACTCAGCCGCCCCCAGACCGGCTCTCCCTCCTCTGTCATATCCATGGACCGCCTTTGCAGGGCTCCTGCACCATCTCTCTCTGCCGGGGGCTCAGCTGCCACGTGGCTCCTCCTATCCTGCCCTGGATTCACTCTCCCCTTGCTCCCAAATGCCTGTGTTTAGTCACTTTTTTTGCTCCTTCTGTCAATATTTTGCTTGTTCTCTCACCACTCTTTACAAATGCGCTCATTCTGCGGCTCTACTTAGTGACATTATAAACGCCCACATCCTGCCAAATGGAAGGCACTGACCATTCTCTACCAGTCTCTACTGATGGCTGCACTACCAGGGTGTTGTAGAATGATGGGAAGGGTGGTCCTGAGGCCACCCTTAAATGGATGAGGGTCACACTGAGATCCAGCAAATCCCCCAGAGTACAACTGGGAGTGTCTCTTACCTGTGATTTCCTTGGTTCCTCCATTGGTGTGCTTGAAGCGATCTCCTTCAACACGGACACTTGGGCAGAGCACATCTGAGAAAGGAAGAGGAAACAGAAGCTGGTGAGAAAGCGTGGTCCATGGCCACCCTGTGACATGTGACAGCAAATGGAGCCCACCGCATCTCCAGCACCAGAAGGGGCCAGTGCCTGAGTTGGCATCTCTGCTCATACTTACGCTTTTGTTTGCTCCTGTCCTTGTTTAACATAGACTCTGCAAATATTTTGCTCTATTCTGGGTAAAATAGGAACAAGGTCTTTTGTCCTCGTTTCCAGAGAACTCATAGCCTCATCCACTAGAAGCCAGACATGAAAACTAATATTCAAAACACAGTGCAGTAAGTGACAGGCTCAGATAGCTGCTGGGGGACTCAGGGCATAGGTGGGTCACCTACCTGCCAAAGACAGGAAGGCCTTCCTGGAGAGGCTCCTCTTACAGGAACAGTGAAACAGAGCCAGCGGTACATACCACACAGCCAAGGGAGCCTTGGGTGGGAAGGCATGGAAATATACACAGAATTCTGAGAGGGGAGAGGGGTGTCCACAAAATGGGAACTGTATGTCTGGAGCAGACCAGAAAAGTGTTCCTTAATTCACCCTATGAAGCTTCAGGTGCAGTTCCAGAAGAATTCAAATGCCAGAAGAAGCAACATTCCTCAGTTACACAAAAGCAGTAGAATAAGTCACACCAAAAAAATAAAAAGTTATCCTACTTGTTACGGCTTGTATCTAGATGACTCCCAAAGCCTCATGTCCTCATAGGTGGGGCTTTTGGCAGGTGACTGCGTCTTGTATACTGGATTAGTCCATTACTGGGATTACAGCTGGGTGTGATGTTGGGAGGTGAAGCCTGGTGGGAAGAGGCGGGTCACTGTGGGTGTGGCCTGGAGATGCATATATATTATCCGTCTTTCTCCCTTGTGGCACACTCTACTTCCTCCCATGCCATGGACTGTTTCTCCTCTGCCATGCCACTCTGCCTTGGAGCCCGCTGACTCTAGACTAAAAGCTCTACAAACTGTGAGCTAAAATAAAACTTTTCTCCTTTCACTTGTAACAAAATACCCGACCACCCCCCCTTCTGATGGGTTAAAGGTGGCCCTGTGGTCCCCTGGTGAAATGTTCATGCCCTTAGATACAGGAAGTAAGGTATTTGTCCCAGCAATAAGAAAGTAACTAAGACGCTACTATGTTAAAGTGTCTTATTTTAAAACCTTCATGAATTGTTACTTTTAAAAAGAAACAGAACTGTTTTGATCTAAATATATGAGAATGAATGAGCCCTAACTCTGATCTTCAAAATGCTGGATCCCTACATTGGCTCTAGGACTAACAGGCAAATGGCACTGGCAGGGAGAGGCCTCTGAGTTTGTCTCCACACAACCATCTTGGCAGGTAGATCTTAAACACAAACCTATGGCAGGGCTGCCCTAAGGGTAGGAGAAGGTCAAACCCATGAGAGATTGGGACCGGGTTAAGGATGCCCTTTTGCGAACCTGGTCCTCAAGACATCTAGTGAGCCAACCTGCCCAGGAAGCAATGTGGGTCACCTCCATGACTGTTTTCTCCCGCAGTATTGTTGGGCAGCCTCACCATTACATCAATTCTATATGCAAAGACTGGGCCTGCTAGGGGCATAAACATTTCAGCATGGGACCACAGGGCCACTCTTAAGCCATGAGCAGTGAGGGGAAAAAATAAGAGTGTTCCCGATTTAGGAAGTGATATTTTTAATGTTTATCTTAAAAGGCATTAGCAGGTCTGACAAGCTCCTGGCGGGGGCTATTTTGGAGACAGCGTCAAGCTGTCCGTCTAGTGTGAAATAGGAGAGGATGCAGGCATGGGGCAATATTTAGACAGCTCCACCCTGGCCTGCGGCAGCTGTGGGGAAAGGATCAATGGCTATAACCCTGGCGGTCTGCCTGCACCCTGCCTGCACCCTGCCTGTCATTTAAGTGAGTTTAAAGGGTAAAAGGAGGTGGCTTGGAGGATCCTGTCCAGGACGGTGAGCAAATCTCAGGTGACTGACAGCTGGAGCTCAGAGAAGGCGACACCTCTGAGTCACATCTGCAGACATCCCAGGGGAGGACCTGCTTCTCTGACCAGACAGCAAGGCCAATCTGAAGACCACACAGAAAAGACGGATGGTCTTTTTAAAAGACATAGAACTTACCAAACTCCTTTAAGGAATCATTCTCAAAACAACTGCAAAGTGCCTTTGGGGGCCATCACTAAGCCTCAGACATTCAAGAGGTTCAAAGGGTGATTTATAGCTCACTTTGTTAGGTCAGGACAAATAGTTCCCAAAATACCTGCTCTGCCAGGCTTCCTACTGAAGGGTCAGGGCCCTTGGGCTCATCTGCTTGTCAGAAGGGTGGGCTCAGCACCCCAAGCTCCTCTCAGCTATCCTCCACTGTTTGAGGAGCAAAATACCTCTGCATTTTGGATAACACATCTGTTTATTTCCATATTCACTTATTTATTCAAACTGAAATATTTTACTGAGCTTCAGGAAAGCTCTAGGCATGCATGGACTTCATTCCAGGGACACAGAAGTAGATAATACATTGTCATAATCCTTGCCTTCAGGACACTCCTGAGCTGACCGTGGTGACAGATTCCAAACAAGGGCAAAAAGCATCATAGCCGCATGACACTATTTTGACCCCTCACTCAGTAGAAGACGCTTCCCCTGGGATCTAACACTCTGATGAGTTTTCAAGGACTCCAGGGCCTTGTTCCCACCCATCCCAGCCTGGGTGAGGAAACCTCCTCAGGGGCCTGAGGTCCCAGAGCTGATGGAGCAACACTGAAGTCATCATATGGTATGACTGGCCCTGGCGCACGGTGATCCCTGTACCTTCATGGATCTCAGTGGCCCTCCATATCACCGAGACCGCCACCGTTCGTGCCAAGCAAAATGACCGCCGGCACGGGAGCTCAGAAGCAGACACTGGACAGTAGACTGGAGGGCGAGCTAGGTATGGAATCATCAAGATTTTGATAAGCCAGCGAGAAGACTCCACAGACTTCCGGGCTCCTGCCAGGGACATGTGCCTATACCCCACTTCTGGCTAAAGAAATGCCACTTTAGTTCAAGGGAGTTGCCAGTGGTTGGTCGCTCTTAGCTAACTCAGATTATTCTGTTCCCCTTCTTTCCAGCTTCCTTGCACCTAGGGATGGACACATAACCCAGTTCTAACCAAGGAAACAGAAGTTCACTATGGCTGGATGGAGGCCTTCTTTGTAAATGGCATTTGATTTTCTTAATGTAAGTGAATGGGTTGGCAAGTCTATTTTCCCTTTGTCCTCCTTCATGTGGGTACATAGCATTGGGGAGCTGTCCAGGAAATGTGAGAAAACAAGGACCCCTGAACAAGCAACCTCATGCCTGGGAAAAGAGCACAGCGAAGAACTCCGATGTGTTTAAGCCAGTGCAGGGGCTGTCTACACACCACATCCACAGGCCGGCCCTTCCCCTCCTGTGAGCAGCACTGGGCACAGCACTGACTCGGGGCCAGGAGTCCTTTCTGGTTTCTGAGGGCAATCAGTGGGGTGGTGAGGACCCATGCATTACTCTCCTGACAAAGGAGCTACTGACAGACCAGATCCCCTTCACTGTCCCAGTAAAAGGGATTTGGCAGATAACAATTCAAGACCCTCAGAAGAAGCAGTTCTGGAATTAAGGACAGGGATAAGTTCTTAAAAAATATGTTTAATGTGTTCCCAGTCGGTCCATTTTCCTTTGGAAAACATGAGAACACAAAGGAGGAAATGTTCATAGGGTAGGGAGTTAGCCAGACATGAGCTGGGGCTAGAAGGATGGACTTGTGAGGGTTCATCTAGCTCCTTCCAGGTACCCCACCTACACAGTTACCTGAGGTCTACACATGCCTACTTAGGGGACCTGGACCCCATGTTGTGCCGGTAGGTCTTACTTGACCTCACTAGATTTAATTTGCACACATTTGCATTGTGGTTTTGATCCCTTTTGTAGGGAATGGCTGGCTCCCATGTTCATTCTGGCTAAGATTATGTAAATTCAAAAACTTCCCCTCCTGACAGACTAGAGTCTCACTGCTAACTGACTGAAAACCCTGCTGGGCAACAACAATTGACCACTCTCCCAAATTATAGGAACTCAAAAGGGAAACCAACCTAGTCCCAGACACTTGGTCTTTCTCAGAGCTGCCTGTCCCTGTCCTTGGGAGTACACCTTGCTTCTAACTGACACTAGCCTTCACTGAGTTGCCTGTTCTTCAGAGCATCCTCAGTAAAAGAAAACTGCTTTGCTTAGCATGTGGCATGTTGACATTTAATAAACTGGCTTGCTGAATCTGCTTCTTTTGACTCTAAGTTCCTTTTCAGGGACCTTTTCACCAACCTTCTTGGGGAGGATTCAAAACAGATTATCTACTTGCTGATATTCACTTTCCTCCACTCTTTAGGTAACAGTAACAAATCCCCCAGACTTCTGGAGAGAACACAGCTACCTCTTTCAACACACCGGGTTCTCCAACTTTGTGAACTCAAAGCTGCTGGTTGATTGGAGCTGCTGCTCCAAAGGGAAATCCTAGGCATTTACTTCCATCTTTCTAGAAAAACAGGAACCTGTTCTCAGCTTACCAAATGTGAAAAGGGAGTGTGTGTTTGCATATTGGAGGAGAGGAAGGGTTTGTACAAGATAATCTCTGGTGTCCTGTGCTTTGTTCACACAGCCATGGATCTGTCTGGGGAATGCAAAACTATGCCACCCTGTGCTCTCACCCAGGAGCTTTATCATCTGGGAAGAGAGGATACAGGTAGTTACCGTGTACCCACTGGTGCGATTACCATGACCTGGAATTTGACCCTCTACCTCCATCTTAACAAGTAGATGGTCTTGCTATTGCACAGATGTTAAAAAACAATGTCTAAGACAAGCTAGGGAACTCATCAGACAGGAGTAGTGTCTGTACTTGAACAAATGCCTACCTGAATTAGAATCTAGGAGTTGAGTTGGCAAAACTCAGTCAGGAAATCAGGAAGACCAGTAG